GTCCCCTCTCGAGTTCCTACCCGAGTCCCCTCTCGAGTTCCTACCCGAGTCCCCTCTCGAGTTCCTACCCGAGTCCCCTCTCGAGTTCCTACCCGAGTCCCCTCTCCAGTTCCTACCGAGTCCCCTCTCCAGTTCCTACCCGAGTCCCCTCTCGGGTCCCCTCTCGAGTCCCCTCTCGAGTCCCCTCTCCAGTTCCCTCTCGAGTCCCCTCTCCAGTCTCCTCTCGAGTCCCCTCTCGAGTCTCCTCTCCAGTTCCCTCTCCAGTTTCCTCTCAGGTTCCCTCTCGAGTCCCTTCTCTAGTCACCTCTCAGGTTCCCTCTCGAGTCCCTTCTCTAGTCACCTCTCAAGTTCCCTCTCCAGTTCCCTCTCCGGTTCCCTCTCGAGTCCCCTCTCCGGTTCCCTCTCGAGTCCCTTCTCCAGTTCCCTCTCGAGTTCCCTCCTCTAGTCCCCTCTCTAGTCCCTCCTCTAGTTCCCCTCGCGAGTCCCCTCTCGAGTTCCCTTCTCTAGTCCCTCCTTTAGTCCCTCCTCTAGTCTCTCCTCTAGTCCCCTCTCGAGTCCCCTCTCGAGTTCCCCCTTGGTTCCCCTCTCGAGTCTCCTCTCGAGTCCCCTCTCGAGTCACGTCTCAAGTCCCTACCCAATGTCCTGGTCCGTTGGAGGTTCCGCTGGGGGTCCTGCCAACTCCATGTCCTGTCCCGTTGGGGGTCCCGCCGTCTACTCTCCTGCCGGGGGTCCTGCCAGCTCCTTGTCCTGTCTCGTTGGAGGTCCCGCCAACTACTCTCCTGCCGGGGGTCCTGCCAACCCTTTGTCCTGTGCCGTTGGAGGCCCCGCCGACTACTCTTCTGCTGGGGGTCCTGCCAACCCTTTGTCCTGTCTCGTTGGAGGTCCCGCCGTCTACTCTCCTGCCGGGGGTCCTGCCAACCCTTTGTCCTGTGCCGTTGGAGGCCCCGCCGACTACTCTCCTGCCGGGGGTCCTGCCAACCCTTTGTCCTGTGCCATTGGAGGCCCCGCCGACTACTCTCCTGCCGGGGGTCCTGCCAATCCCGTGTCCTGGTCCTCTCCCGTGGGGGATCCTGCCGAGGCCTGTCCCACCAGCTCCGGTTCCTGTCCGGCCGACACCAGGTCCTGCCCGGCCTCCGGAGCTCTCTGGTCTTCACCCTCGAGCCCGGCCCCCTGAGAGCCGCGGTCTTCGCCCTCGATCCCGGCCCTCTGTGAGCCGTGGTCTTCGCCCTCGAGCCCGGCCCCCTGAGAGCCGCGGTCTTCGCCCTCGATCCCGGCCCTCTGTGAGCCGTGGTCTTCGCCCGCGATCCCGGCCCCCTGACTCTTCCTGCCGCTGCCCTCGTCCTCGAGCCCGGCCCCCTGACTCTTCCTGCCGCTGCCTTCGCCCTCATGCTCGGTCGCCCGAGTCCCCCACCTTAGACTCTGCCTTGCCCCCGGGCCGTCCGCCCGAATCCCCCTTTTTGAACTCTGCCTTGCCCCCGGGCCGTCCGCCCGAGAACCCCTCCTTGAACTCTGCCTTGCCCCCGGGCCGTCCGCCCGAGATCCCTTCCTGGTCCTCTGCTGTGCTCCTGGGCGGTCAGCTCAGTCCCGTCCTCCTGACCCCCTCCACCCATCCTTCTAAAAGGGAAGAAGATAAACAAGGAAGTATTGAATTTAAGCAAATAAGGCTGTAAAGATTAAAAGCATAAGGTAAGATATGAAAAGGATAGGGAAGAAATTAAGGAGAAAATGAAAGGACCTTGTAGGGAAATCAAAAAGGGAAGTACATGAAGAATGGAAAGGAAAGAAGAAAGTAGGGACAATAAAGATGAGTACAAATCCATGTAAGGGATGAAAGGAGGAGCTTAAAGCAGCAAAGACAAAGTAGAAAAGGAAAGAAGAGAAGGAGTTAGAGGAAGAAAAGGAGAGATCGAGAACACCGTCAGGAAGTATGACGAGGAATTAGTGAAGGGTGGACTGTTGATCTCCTGACATTTTGTTACTCCATCCATAACTTTGACCTCTTCTCTCTGTGGACTTTTATACAACCTCACCTAACATCTTGTTTTGCACCTGACACATATGTCATAATTCCCAAAGCAGTTAGAGCTCCTGAAGGCACCATGTACATAAACCTGCTCCCTTGAGAGGAAGGTCTGTTAATCACAACAAAAAAACGATCTAGATATATTTTGTGCATGTACGTGACCAAGTCTCCGAGCAAAATGGAAACACAGGAGTGTGTGTGTGTGCTTGTCTGAGAAAGACAGAGTGGATGACAGCTTCTGATAAGGATGGAAAACAGAGCTGTATTTTCCTTTGATACACACAGTCACACACACACACACGCACACGCACACACACACACCTCAGAAATCAGATTTGGGAGCTGTGAGAAATAAATGCATGAAAGGTTGAAAAATGAGGCCTGTCTAATCATTCAATTAGGATCCAAGGCAGATGGTACACACACACACACACACACACACATACACACACACCAACACGTTCTCACTCCCATCCCGTCACATATTGACGGACGGTCAGGGCCCCTCCCTGTCGCTATATTACGTACAGGGTACCCCTTGCCCGTCAGGCTTCTACGGGCAGGGCGTCCCATAGACCTTCATTGCGGACAGCGGACCCCTTGACTGTCAGGCTTCTACGGGCAGGGCGTCCCATAGACCTTCATAGACCACGTGATCAACAACAATGGCCGACCTTCGTGTTATTCTCGGTGGAAAATGCCTATTTTAAGGTTCATTTGGCCAATGCGTTTTGATGTCATTTTATGCGATTAATATGAGTTTTTATTTCTGATTATTTGTGCAGTACATGTACATGATGTTTAGTTTGCTAGTTATGACGAAGATTACTTCATGAATGTGTACACATTCATGGTTGCTAAGGTGGTTGCTATGGACGCTGCAACAGCTCCCAGACCACGTGATCAACAAAAATGGCCGACCTTCGTGTTATTCTCGGTGGAAAATGTCCCTTATAGGCCTACGTCTGTTTCCGGTTATTTTTATTTTGAAATTCAGTTCCTGACGAACGCCAAAAAAGCCCGAGATTATGGAATTAAACCAATAAATAAAAGCAAGGATAATTGTGTGTTATTGGTGAGTAAATAACAGTGTGCTATTTTGAAAAGAATAACAAATTAGAAGGAAAAAAAGATTTTAAAAATACGAGGCAACACTAAAGGTCTAAAATAAAGACCTAAATGAATATTTGGGATGTTCTTGCCTTTAGATTCTCCCAATAAGTCCAAGTACAGAGGGTGACTTTGCTGTGAAAAAACACATTTCCACCAAAAAAACGTTAGCAACCATGAATGTGTACACATTCATGAAGTAATCTTCGTCATAACTAGCAAACTAAACATCATGTACATGTACTGCACAAATAATCAGAAATAAAAACTCATTACTCGCATAAAATGACATCAAAACGCATTTTAATGGTCAAATGAACCTTAAAATAGGCATTTTCCACCGAGAATAACACGAAGGTCGGCCATTGTTGTTGATCACGTGGTCTATGAAGGTCTATGGGACGCCCTGCCCGTAGAAGCCTGACGGTCAAGGGGTCCGCTGTCCGCAATGAAGGTCTATGGGACGCCCTGCCCGTAGAAGCCTGACGGGCAAGGGGTACCCTGTACGTAATATAGCGACGGGGAGGGGCCCTGACCGTCCGTCAATATGTGACGGGATGGGAGTGAGAACATGTTGCACACACACACACACACACACACACACACACACACACACACACGGACCTGTTACTATTTGTAAGTCTAGCTCACTCTGAACTCTGTAGCCTCTCTCTCTCTAAGTAACTCAAAGTAACTGTATACTCGATCGCCCCGTTTACTGTTAATGAGACACTTGTCGGGCTGCTCTTCATTACCTGAACATCCCATAATTATTTGACTCTACTGTATATGTGGAGATAGCAACATGATCCCTACCTGCAGATTAACCTCTTACATCACCACAGTGTCCTGGTTTGAGTCCAGGTTTGGGATTTGTTGCAGCGAATAAAACCCACACAGTGTCCTTGTTCAGAAGATTATGTTAAGTGTAATAAGGTCCAGCTTAGAATAAATTTGTTATTCATTATTATAGACACAAATTAAAAAAAATGTGTATCACACCTGCAAAACTATATTCGTTTTGAGGAGGTTGTGGCTCAGTGATAAGTGCGCTGATCTTCGGATCACGGGGGCACTGGTTTGAATCCCGCTGCAGTCAACATTCCGCTGTGTCCTTGGACACCTTCACCCCAAATTGTTCCTGTGGGGATTGCCCACAGTATTGAATGTAAGTAAGTCGCTTTGGATAAAAGCGTCTAACAATTGACATGTAATGTAATGTAATGTAATGTCTCCACCTCTATGGTTTGTCTCCCTGTGATTTAATAGCCAAACAACGAAAATGTACATATTGTCCTGAAATTCCCTGCTGCTCTCTTTAGTATCAGTGTTGCTAAAAGGCACTCACATTTTTTTATCCATTTTATAAATATCTTTATTTTATTGATAATCATGTACCGAAATACAGAGGAATACCGAGTAAATAATGAAACAAATAATGAAATATGCATTTAAAGGGTTAAAATCCTGAAAATGATTGAATGTTTGGTAGTTTTGAGTACGTTAGAAGTTGTTTAAGTGATTCATGAAAAAAAAAGTAGAAAGAAAATATTGATGTATGATGATTTAATAGCAGTTGTTATGGGCGTGTACATTTTTGCCACGAAGGGGTCGAAAGGTTGAAAATTCGAGGAGGGCACAAGGGTTAAGAATGTTTTGTTATGTTGATATAAATATTCCTATTATTCTTATTTTTTTGTATTTTACTGTCAAAAAACCCCATAAAGTATTCTAGTTCTGATTAATGAAGGAAGGACAAGTATGCAGCTTGAGAGAAAGTTGCTTGACTTACACATAAATGATGACATTTCAGTCGATGCTTTTCATGATATATTCACATGTTACCTTGTTCTGTGTGTAGCTGGTACACTGGGCCAGTCAGCAGCAGGATCAGGATGAGAAGATGGCTGGCTGTGTGTTTCCAATGGGACCAGAGAGCTTTCAGCGCTTCACGCCGGACTCCCTGGCGGCCATCGAGCAGCGCATCGCCCAGGAGCGGGCACGACGCAACAAACACTACCAGGAGGTACGTACACACACACACACACACACACACACACACACACACACACACACACACACACACACACACACACACACACACACACACACACACACACACACACACACACACACACACACACACACACACGACAAACAAGAAATACAACTGAGGGAAATAAAGAAGGAAGTAGAGAAGGGAAGAGAAGGAGGAGGTACATGACAAAAGGAGGTAGGAGGTAGGGGAGGAAAGAAAAAGGTAATGAAGTCAATGAGGGAATAAGAAGGTGGGCAAGGAAGAAAGGGTAAAGGAGAGGTGATTGAAGGAAATAACAAAGGGAAGTAGAGGAGGGAAGGGAAGAAGGAGGCCAAGAAGGAAAGCAGCAGGTAGATGAGGAAAGAAAGAGGTGAGGAAGGGAATGAGGAGGTACATAAGGAAAAGAGGAGGTATTATTATTTGTATTAAAACCTGACTAAAATGAGGAGTTCTGCACCTCTGTAGGCAGATGTGAGAACTGTTTGAGGGGTGGTGATGATCTCTGTGTTTGTGTGTGTGTGTGTGTGTGTTTGTGTGTGTGTGTGTGTTTGTGTGTAGGACCTGGGTGACGTGGTGCTCCCCCGGCGCCGGCCCGACCTGGAGGCAGGGAAACAGCTGCCGCGAATCTTTGCCGACATCCCGTCTCATCTGGTTGGCGTTCCCCTGGAGGACATCGACCAGTACTACTTCAAAGGCAAGAGGGTAGGTGACCCAGTGAGAGTGTGTGTGTGTGTTTGTTTGGAAGTACCCCGTCTTTCCTTTTGGAGAATCCCTGGAAGATAAATCGACTCTTTGGCAGCCTACTTCACCGAAGAGCAGAGAACAGGCAAGCTAGTAAAAGCTATAGAGAAATATGTTCTTGCTGCATCTTAGCTTTTTGCACATATTTTAAAAGATGGTAATATTCAAACATTTTGCACCCTGTTTTTTTATTTACTAATTTATATGTTTTGTTTATTTTTCATGTATAATTTATTCTATTATTATTATTGTTATTATTATTAATAATAATGTATCTAGTTAGTTAGATCGTTAGTTAATTAGACAATAAGTTAGACAGTTAGTTAGTTTGACAGTTAAACAGTAAGTTGCTCAAACTGAAATAAAAACTTTAAAAAAGCTGTTTTTCTGTCTCTCCTGCAGACCTTCATAGTCCTGAACAAAGGGAAGGCCATCTTCCGCTTCAATGCCACGTCCGCTCTCTACATCTTCAGTCCCTTCAACCCCATCCGCAGAATCTCCATCAAGATCCTGGTTCATTCATATCCTTCTTCTCTCACTGTTCTCTGCATGATGGTCTTCTGCTGGGGGGACCGTGTCTGCAGGGAGGGCAGAGGTTAGAGGTCAGATACAGAGCAGTGTGTGTTTGTGTGTGTGAGTGAGTGTTGGTGTGCGGCTGGGCCACCCTGACGGCTGTGTGTGTGATGATTTAAACATGATGCGTGCTCCATCTCTGCTGCATACAGAGTGTTGGCTTCTACTGTAGTGAAGTGGAAATTAGAACAACTTGCAATTTACTTAACGGAAATGGTTTTTTTTTACACTTAGTTACCTTTAACACTAAGAAATATATGATTTCTAAAACGATGCAGCCCTGTAATATTAATCTACCAAGTGGTACTGTATAGAAAGTATCTAAATCATCGTAAATCATACTTTTAACCATATATCAAAATATATCTGTTCAATAGTCTTGTTCTAAAACTGAAAGCTCCAAATGGCCCTTACACATATTCAAAAGTGATAAAAACAGATGAATTTAATACACAAATCAAACGTTTAGAATAAAAATGAATAATGAAAATGATAATGAAAAAATGTATTTAATAATAAAAAGCAAACAAAATAATTATAATAATACGGATGAGGATTAGGGCCACATGAAAAAAGTTCTGAGAAAAAAGTCAGAATTCTAAGATTTCTTCACCCTAATCCTCTTCCGTATTATAATAATAATGTTGTTGGATGATACAAAATATTTATTTAAGTTCATACTGGCTTTAGTCATTATATGTTTCTTGAATTTTTCGTTTTCTTGGTGCAGTATTACATGGTTATTAATGGTTAATTAATGTGTAGTGACCCATTCCATACATCTGAACTCCATTACATTAACCTGATTACCTTCAGCTGGCATGACGATCAATGAATTGCTTTAATGGCAAACATAATAAATACACTGACAAATGAGAAGTTGTGAGAAGTTATCTTCCTGAATTTCCATCATAAAAAAGGCAAGTAGCCAAAAGAGAAGAGGTTATTAGAGGTTGTGAGAAAAGATGATGTGAAATTAACGTATTTTCTCCCTCCATTAATTGAGGATTCTAATGCAGTCAAGAAGGTATTAGAGTGATTTTGATCACAATACATTAATTGCATTGATTATACTGTAGGTTACATAACATTCATCACACATTTGAATACTTACATAAGGTATACACTTATCATACACTTTGATATCAGACTGTTTAATGACCATGTGGCTGATTTCAAATTGATAAAAACTTAACCAGGTTGCAGGGTACAGTACACATTTCTAGAAAACGTTTACTGATGCTGGATAAAAAAAATCAAATCATATAAGACTCAGCAAAACATCTGCAATACCATTTCCCAGCAACACAGATCTTTATCATTAGCAACAACAATCTTTATCAATCATCATTACAATTTTATGCTAGATTTAAATACATTTTGAATATCATTTTTGCTTTAAATTGTCAATTTTACACCTGCTCCTATAGCAGAATGCTGTCCAGGCATATTTAGAGGTGACGGTGTGTTTACCAATCATGTAAACTGTCTGTGTGTGTGTGTCTGTGTGTGTGTGTGTGTGTGTGTGTGTGTGTGTGTGTGTGTGTGTGTGTGTGTGTGTGTCTAAGGGCTCATCCCGTCGGTCGTATTTCTGAGTCAGATATCATCTTGAGCTGTCTGGACAGCTATAAACATGACCAGTAAATATTTCCTATCAAGGTGGCCCCTGCACACACCACACACCCACACAGACATGCACGCAAACACACACACACTCAGAATTTCCACCCGTGAACTTTGACCAACTGCCTCTTACAGGTATGTTTGTTGTGTTTTTCACACACCTGTTGGTCAATTACATAACATATTCATTCGATTGAATGTGTTAGAAGACTGATATCTGGTGGAAGATTTTGAATAATTACAGTTTCTTCAAATGCATATGAAAACATACATGGGTTTATACTAGGGTGCATTTATTGTGATCCGAGTAAAATAAGTTGGTTGTCTGGCCCAAGGTCTTTATCAAGGTTATCATCTTTTCGCATGTGATTTAATCTCTTTTGTTTAAGCTTTATTTCCAAAACGTCCCTTAAAAGTGTGCAATGGCATTGATGCATAACGTGCAGTGAGAAGAAATAAGTGCAGAAAACCTTAAAAGTGGTGGAAATTGAGGCATGGTATTATTTAAAAATTGGACCCTTTCTCTAGAATGAGAATTTTTTTATGTGATAATTGAGCCTTTTTGAGTCAGTGTGCCCTCTGGATTAAAGTGATTTGCTTCCACTTCACACTCATATTACTAAATCATTTTCAAAATAAGACTCTTAAATGAAGCCTCTGAATGTTATTTTATACGACAGCTTCTATTCTCATATTGAAATGTTTTAATGTACTTTTGTACGCTTTCTTGTCTAGTCAAGTTTTTTTTTTACCTCAATGTCAAATATGATCTAAAATACGGCCATTAAAAACTTTTTATCAGAAGATCACGTGTGAAGAGATCAAAGTGACATTAGTTTCCAGATTAAAAGAAAATGTAAGGTAATATAAAATAAAGCCTTAATAATCTCTCTTAGGAAATACAGGAGTCAAAGCAGCAATAAGAAACACATTGATTATAAGAATTTTAAAAAGTATAAAAAAGGAGTAGGTACAACACATGAATGGTGAATGTAAATAAATGTATTTATATACGTCTATAGGTTAGGATTATTGCCAGTCGCCCCGTCCCACGCTACGCCGGCGTCCTGACAGATATGACCTCACACCCAAAACTCAACACCAGCCCCCCTTCATATCTCTCCCCTCCCTCCCCCCTCACATCACACTCGTCTATTTTTACCGGGGGAGGCGGCGGGTGTTGAGAGACGTCGAACGGTGGACACGCTGCTGTTTTCGGGGGATAAGAGGGGGGAGAGGTCGCCGCGGAGGTGTGGCGCTGCTGATGTATGTGTGTGTTTGAGTGTGTGTGGTCAAAACAAAACTTAGGACAAGTGTGTGTCGTTGTAAGGGTACAAGCTGCAGTGGTGAAGTGGAGTTTTAGTGTGTGTGTGAGTGTTTTTATAAGTGTGTGTGAGATCAAGTGTTTGTTGGATTCATGCCCGACCACAGTGGCGCCACCATGACAAGCCGGGGTGTGAGGTGGACACACACACACAGACGTTGTTAACTGGAATATGTACAATACATATGCACATATGTTTCATTAGGCAAGAAAGAATAATAACACGAGGAGAGTGAAATAGAGTAAAAAGAGTAAAATAACTAAAATAAAATATACAAAATAAATGAAATAATGATTAAATATAAAAGATCTAATATATTATATATTCTAATATAGTAAAATATAATTAAATAAAAAACTTTAAATAATAATTTAAAATATAAGTAAAACAGAGTACAATTATGAGATGAGAGGAGGGTAGAAGAACAAACACACGCACACTTGAAAACAAATTGCAATTGTGTGTTTTCTCTGTAGGTAATCAGTATTAACACCACCTGTCTGTTCTAACAGAAAACACTATTTGACTACATATCCCATGGGGCTTTGCTTCTGGAGGACACCCCTTTGACTTTGTTTCCCTTGAGGCATTGCTCCAGGAACACGTTAATCACCAGCTGCGTCTCCTGGTTTAAAAACATTGTGTAAGCACTACAGCTTTGGCACAAGATTATTGACCTTTTGTTTTTTTACATCAAGAGTTATTTATAAGTCGAGAGAAGTCCAAGAGAAGTGGATTACATTAATGTAATGACAAATAAAGATGATTAACAATCATGTAAACAATAGCTATTCTCTAATCAGATTCTCATGCCCAGGAGGCATTAAGGAGAAGTTTTGATTTAATTGATATGCAAACTATAATAGAATTGTAAGTTCTGTTACTAGTTACTTTAATGTGTTTCAAACTGTCTGCAGCAAATGTTGGGAAACTACATGCAATAAACAAAATACACATTTACTTCCTTCAGTTTAATTATATAACATATAGAAAACCTTGCATTATTTATAGATTGAAATACATATTACACTAATATCTGAAGTTTTTCCTTGTACGATGTGAGGGTCTAAGGACAGAGGGTCTAAGGACAGAGGGTGTCGTATTGTCATACTGATATTCTGTACAAACTGTAAAGTCCACTGAGACAAATGTAACATTTGTGATATTGGGCTATATAAATAAACATTGATTGATTGATTGATATCTGTTGGCTCAGTATCCCATGATTAACTAGAGAATGCAATTCCTGAAGAAATTGCTAGTGGGAATGCTTTATGCTGAAAAGCTGACGCTAAACTGCTATGCTGAAATGTAATGTGTAAGAAGAAAGTGAATCATTTAGATTAAAATGAAATGTGTAAGAAGAAAGTGAAGAATTTAGATTAAAATGAAATGTGTAAGAAGAAAGTGAAGAATTTAGATTGAAATGATACATGAACACGGGGCTTGAATGTGTGATGAGAGAAGAAAAGAAAGTAAAAAGGCTTGGAAAAGGAGCAGAATATTTGAACTGCAAACTTCTGAACTAACTTGATGGCGAATGATCTGTCACCATGGCAACGGCATTTGATGACACCCCATAATACGCTTAGATGCGTTGATGGCTGCATCGTTAACAAACCTGTGAAGTTTTGGGGCGTTTGGAGTATTTTCACTGAAGTTATGAGAAAGCCGTGTTTCATGGCGAGCATTGTGTTGCCATGGCAACGGCATTTGAAGAAATCTCAAAAGTGTCCCGTAGATGTCTTCACGGCTGGACTGTTAGCACACATGTGAAGTTTGAGCACTTTTTGAACATTTTCATAGGAGTTATAGCAACATCATGTTTTATGGCGAGGGATGGAAATGGCATATGGTGAGATCTCAGAGTTGGCGTAGAGCTGTGGAGGCATGGACCGGTGATATACAAGTGAAGATTGGGGGACGATTGGACCGTGTCCATTGGACTTATAGCGACATCATGTTTTATGGCGAGGGATGCGTTTCCATGGAAACGGCATATGGTGAGATCTCAGAGTTGGCGTAGAGCTGTGGAGGCATGGACCGGTGATATACAAGTGAAGATTGGGGGACGATTGGACCGTGTCCATTGGACTTATAGCGACATCATGTTTTATGGCGAGGGATGCGTTTCCATGGAAACGGCATATGGTGAGATCTCAGATTTGGCGTAGAGCTGTTGAGGCATGGACCGGTGATATACAAGTGAAGATTGGGGGACGATTGGACCGTGTCCATTGGACTTACAGCCTCATCGTGTTTCATGGCGAGTGGTCTGTCGCCATGGCAACGGCATTTCATGACACCCCATACTACGCTTAGATGCATTGATGGCTGCATCGTTATCAAACCTGTGAAGTTCTGGGCTGTTTGGAGTATTTTCACTGAAGCTATGAGAAAACCATGTTTCAAGGCGAGCATTGTGTTGCCATGGCAACGGCATTTGGAGAAATCTCAAAACTGTCCAGAAGATGTCTTCACAGCTGGACTGTTGAAGTCTGCTGCATGGCAGTTGGAGTTATGACATCATCGTGTTCCATTGCACAGGTGTTTATAGTTGAGCTAACGAGGTGCCTAGACTTCAAAGGCTTCATTGTTCTGAATGAGAGATGAACCTCTTACATGTGAACGTTTTGTGGAAGAACCGTAACAGATATCTGTGAAATCTCAAAACGTGAAGCATGTCAAGGAAGTTGAGTATCTGAAGTGTAATTTTTGTGTAGTTTTGGGTTAATAATGTGGCCTTTTTGGCAGTTTAACTAAAGGTGTGCGGCTGCTACCGTGAGGAAATATCTGCCTGAAATTACAATGGGCTTCAATGGAGGAATGTTGAACGTTTTTGTCACTTCATGCCCTCAAGAGGCATTTTGTTGGATTATTTTTTGCTTAATTATTTGTCATTTTTCAAGCTACGAGATGTTTTCCTACGTTTATCATGATAAATTATGTCTCAGGAATGTAGGGTTTGGGAATTATGGCAGTTTAAAAAAAATATATGAAGGCAAATTTCAAGATTTCTCACCCTCTAGCTGTGACATCACGCACTCTAGTTAATGTTAAAATGTGAAGAAAACCTCGAAAACAAGGTCTGAACAAATGTTAATATCTCTAAAAGTAAGAATCAGATTTAAAAGTTGTTTCACACGAATAATGTCAGAAAGATTTGTAACATTTGAAAGTTGGAATGAGGTTTCTGAGTGAAAGTATGAATGAACAGTTAGCAGTTGAAGTCGCATGAAGATTTGTTGAAGTCTGAAGATTTCCTCCATTGACTTCAATGTTAAAAATGTGATGTATTATGGGATGTATCTCTGGAATTATGAAAGTTATGAATGAGAAAAGTAATAGCCATCGATTCCCGACCGAGCTGAACGTTTTGATGTTTGAACGGAGTTTCTGCGATGTTCAATGCGGGAGAAGAAGAGGGCCAAAATACCGGCGGAATAATAAACTTTTCGTCCGTAGAATAACAGTAAAGAGAATATGAACCAACTCAATTAATGATAACATAATTGGCATTTTGATCAGTCATGAAAATATTTGATACATTTGAGGCTTAGAGTGAACACAAAATGACTCGGGATACTATTCTTTCGAAATAAGAGCATTGGTTACAGTGTTGGTTTTAATTAGAACAGAAAAGTAATTCAATGCTCAGAAAGAGAAAATATTGAGTGATGGAGGTGAGGGAGATATGGAAAGAGGGAGGAAGATCCCGCGGAGGGTGTGGGAGGTGTAATTACATTACTGGTATGGTGGCCTGGGAGGGCCATAACAGCAGGTCTGTCATTACAGCGTAATTATCTCCCGGCGGCACGGGGGGACGTTTGCGTTGTTTGTCAATCGCTAACCCTGTTACCTCGCCATCATTACAGCCGGCACTCAATCAACAATTACCCCGCGGCTCGAACAACTTTCAGCTGGAGTTTGGAGTGTGTTCCTGCTGCCAAATTACAATAATTAAGATTCATTTATAACTTTGATTGACATCAGAGCGAGGGCTCTCCCACCTCATGTGTGTGAAGGTGATACTTAACATGTAGCGCTGCCTTCTGACACTTTGAAAAAGTTACCGCGTCACAATACATGATCCATAAAGCACTTCATCTACACCAGGGCCCTCAAATCATTTGGTAACCTCAGATCTGACTTTCTCACAATTTGAAAAAATGTGAGAAACCAGAATTAAGGTCTTGTGCTTTTATGCCTCCTTCTTCCCACGTTGCTAAGGTAAAGGCGGCTAATGTTCGATAAGACATCTGTTGGCAAGCCCTTTCAACATGTTCATAAAAACATTGACTTCCATACGAGGGAACAGGAAGTGCTAAAATGTTGACTCATCACAGGGTTTAGGTCTCATTCCTTCAACACTCTATATAGGTCATATACAGTAGGGGAAATTATAATTAGTGAAGTTCTTGAGTTAAAAAAACTTTTTTCTAAGCTTTTCTGGGATATCACATTTACAAAAATGGTTTATTATCCCAATTAACCACAAATTATTATTATCATTATTATTATTATAAGAAACAACTACTTGCAGCAAGGATTTGTATCTCTTTAAGATCTTGCATGTAAGTTTATTAAAAATGACTCAAATGTACTTTTAAACATATTAATGATGAGGATTATTATTAATATTTTTGAAAGTATCTGAATCACTTTATCCAGAGGGTACACTTAATCCAAAACATCATATCAAATAAAGTAATGTAATAATGTAGAAAAAGGGTTTTATTTTAAAACAATACTTATAGTAAAATGTACCACAATCTTCATCCATTTTAAGTTCACTTCCCTTTATTTCTTCCCTGCGGACATTGTGCATGCTGTTAATGGCATATTCATTTGCTTTATTGGATTTGGTATTCGGACATGCATGTGGAAAAGACACACAGTTCACTTCCTCTCTATGAAGCCTCTAATGGGAAATCAGATAGAAATATCTCAAATCAAAAGGAAGCACATGTAAAATCCCTTCAAAGGCAGATGTTTCTACACTTCCATTATTATATAACATTTAGCTGACACTCACTGAGGGAAGAAGTCCTAAAAGCTTCGCCAACGTTACACTGAGGACATTTACATTTTTACATTTGACTCTCTGCTCTTTTCCGCAGTGAGTAAGAGCGTTTATCACAGAAAAGAACACTAAATTGACTTTCTAATTATCTTTCTGGCACTTCTCTGCTAAACTCCACAGACCTGCGAGCCAACAAGCTGTAAAAACTATTTTTCACTCAACAATGTTTTTATTTCTGGGCAACAGAGTCAGAAACCTTAATGGAAGAAGTCACATGTACTTGCCTTTTATTCAAATTTCATAAAAGCAGATACAAACACAACTTGTATTTATTTATGGTTGTCAAATTACAAGTTCATTCATTATAATATCTAATCTTTAGTTAAACCTAATTCAGAATCTGAATACTTTATGTATCCTGAGGGAAATTAGATTTTGTTATTCCATTTTAGACCAAAATAAAATATAAAATATATTGAATATTAAACAAACATGAGAAGTTAAGTTAATAATGAGCCATACAATAAAGTTAAAGCAACATGTTCAATAAAAGAGTGAAATATAAATGAATCAAGGACACAGTGTTTCATAGCTGCAAACATGACGTGCCTTTGCAAAATGACCAGGCTTTTTCCCCAAATTAGGAACAAATTCATAATGCAGATGATGTTTCTTTTTATTTCTATCATGAACATGTATGATATAAATAGTTTTTTCTTCCTTGACCTGCTTCACATTATTCAGTCTGTTCATCATGTGCACCATCCTGACCAACTGCTGCTTCATGGCCATGTCAGAACCGGCGTACTGGGCCAAGTACCTGGAGTAAGTACACCTGCCTGCCTGCCTGTGTCTGTCTGCCTGTCTGACCGTCTGGAAATCAATGTCAAAGCTAATTTTGGTCTAATGCCTTTTTTTCAATTTTGTGAATGCACCAAATTCGTTTTTAATGGGAGTAAAGTCGCAACAAATGTTTTTTCAGCAGCCGTTTTCACTCTTGTTCATACTGTGACGATCAAGATTTAGCCAGTCTCACTTTTAGTATATGAAGATTTTCCATCTTTTTGTCACTGTTGCTAACAAACTGTTTTTAGTTTTTCCATTGACATTACATTGCATTTAGCTGACACTTTTATCCAAAGCGACTTACAATAAGAAACTTGAAGAAAACAGAATCATAAGTACATCAGGTTTCATAGAGCCAAAACATTTCAAGTGCTACTCATCTGGCTTTAGATAAGCCAGTCCTTTATTAGTATATAAGTGCTTTGTTAGTAATTGTATTGCTCGAAGTGGAGTCGAAAGAGATGAGCTTTATACTATCATCATCATGCTAGCACTCAGATGTTACGGTGAGTGAAGCAAGCAGGACCCAAATGCAGATAACGCTGAAAAAAGCCTTTATTTCAAGGATAAAATAAAAATAACTTGGACAAAACAGAACTCTCACCGGTGAACTCAGTCACAAACAAAGACGAACCAACACTGAACACAGGAAGAGACTAAATACAGGGAGGGGTAATCACAGGACGAGAAACAGCCGGGCAGGGGAGGAGAAACACAAGGGCCACAGGTGAACACAATCAGACAATTAGACACACCAGGGAAACTAACGACAGGAGGAAAAACACAGAGAGAGAGACCAGACAATAAACAAGGAGGAAAACATGACAGGGAGAACCGAACAGCAAAATAAACACAAATCTAGAACAAACAAAACTAAAAACGTGGGAAAGTCTAAATCATGCTTCATGTAGGGTTAGTTTTTCACAAGACATTTCCTCTCTGTGACGTGCCTCCTTCCTCGCTGTCTGTCTCTACGCTTCACTTCCTGTCCGTTCAAACTTGTTTCTGGGGACAAAATAAATAAGTCAAGGATTTCTGGTGGAGAGTTCTGCTCATTTTATGAATATATTTATTGGCTTCTTCTTGTCTTTTTTGACTCCCTCTTTTCTTGTCTTTATTCTTCTTTTTCTAACTTTTCATCCCTAACATTTGTCATTTCCCTCTCCACCTGTTTCCTCTTTGTTTCCTGTCTACTTCCTCTTTTACTTCAAACATCTCATCTTAACGTTTTACTCCCTGTTGCGTCCTCTTCTCTTGTTCCTGTCTTCTTCCTCTCTACATTCTCATCTATTATATATATATATTTTTGTATTCTCTTCCACCTTTCTGACCTTAAATCCCCTCTGGCTTCCACTTTCTCATTCTCTTTTACTTCCTCATCTCACTCTACCTCCTTTTCCACTTTATTTGCTATTCTACCATTCCTCATTTTCCTTTCCGTCTAAATCCTCTTCCCTAACAAATATGTCACTTCCCATTTCTATCTCCGTCTTTACCACCTTCCTGTTTTCACTCCCCTCCAGGTACACCTTCACAGGTATCTACACCTTCGAGTCGTTGATAAAGATCTTGGCGAGGGGGTTCTGCGTGGGGCCCTTCACCTTCCTGAGGGACCCCTGGAACTGGCTCGATTTCAGCGTCATTGTCATGGCGTGAGTCAAGCTCACACACACACACACACACACACACACACACACACACACACACACACACACACACACACACACACACACACACACACACACACACACACACTCAATACTACACAAACTCTTGACTTCTCATTCACTCCAATGACAAGTGTTTTAGGCCCAATCCCAAACCACTCCCTCGACCCATCCCCTCCGTGATGGAGTGAACTCCGTCTGTAGCCACACTCGCAGCTCAACGAGGCTCCCTCCTGTCAGATGGAGGGAGTAAATACAGCAGCAAGCTTTGGGACGGCCTCCCCTCTCTCCGGCAGAAACAGGAAATGCCGTAACTGTATGTAACAACGGTTTCAAATCAGCATCTCTTAGACAAAAAGTTTAAATGAATAACTCAAATAAAACTCCAAACATCTTTCATTGTGTTTCAAAGCTCTTTTAGTTTTAAACCTGATGTTTATAAGCTTCTTAGTTTTTGCAACGGTCTGTAAATATACACAACTTTATAATAAAATGTACACATTTACCTTTTTCTAGACTAAACACAGGTTTGATCCTCAGTTAAAAACATATGAGGTTATCATGAGGTTGTTAACATCGCAGTTTATCAGTGGATGTTTGCTGGAACTACTTGTAAACAGCGTGTTTCCTGACGGACACACACAGCGTTGACTCCGGTCAGGTAGAGACCGGTCTCAAGTCAGCACTGCTGCAGACTCGCTGTTTGAGGGCTTGATAGCCCACTCCCCCTCCACACTCGTTGCTTTGGAACAGCCCTCAATATGGCGGACCCTCCGCGTGAACGCGCAAACGGAGGGGTAGGGTGTAGGGGTAGGGGTAGGGTGTAGGGGGCGGTTTGGGAATGGGCCTAAGTGTGCTTCCTCAATCTCTGTCATGCGATTAGAGATGGAGAATATCTGTTTTAGATTATTTTTAAATACAAAAAAACCTACGTGAAATGAAAAAGCACTGTGTTGGTCAAAAACAAATACTACATATATTGTGTATAAAATCGTTTAATCCAAAGTACAACTAAAATTGGCAAGGCAGTCTAACTACAGAAAATGTCTCTCATAAACATTAATACTTAAAAAATGGTTGGATCTTAAAAAAGTCAAAAATGCTGTTCTCACTCAATGATATTTGTTTGTTTTTGTTTGTTGAGTATTATTTGGCCGATTTTTATTTAGGTATCATCCATACAAATTGTTACCTACACTGAACAAAAATATAAATGCAATACTTTTGTTTTTGCTCCCAAATTTCATGAGATGAACTCAAAGATCTAAAACATTTTCTATATACACAAAATAACCATTTCTCTCAAATATTGTTCACAAATTTGAAAAAATCTGTGATAGTGAGCACTTCTCCTTTGCAGAGATAATCCATCCCACCTCACAAGTGTGGCATATCAAGATGCTGATTAGACAGCATGATTATTGCACAGGTGTGCCTTAGGCTGGCCACAATAAAAGGCCACTCTGAAACGTGCAGTTTTGCTTTATTGGGGGGGTCTGGGGGGGTCCGAAAACCAGTCAGTATCTGGTGTGACCACCATTTGCCTCACGCAGTGCAACACATCTTCGCATAGAGTTGATCAGGTTGTTGATTGTGGCCTGTGGAATGTTGGTCCACTCCTCTTCAATGGCTGTGCGAAGTTGCTGGATATTGGCAGGAACTGGAACACGCTGTCGTATACGCCGATCCAGAGCATCCCAAACATGCTCAATGGGTGACATATCCGGTGAGTATGCTGGCCATGCAAGAACTGGGATGTTTTCAGCCTCCAGGGATTGTGTACAGATCCTTGCAACATGGGGCCGTGCATTATCATGCTGCAACATGAGGTGATGGTCGTGGATGAATGGCACAACAATGGGCCTCAGGATCTCGTCACGGTATCTCTGTGCATTCACAATGCTATCAATAAAATGCACCTGTGTTCGTCGTCCATAACATACTCCTGCCCATACCATAACCCCACCACCACCATGGGCCACTCGATTCACAACATTGACATCAGAAAACCGCTCACACACACGACGCCACACACGCTGTCTGCCATCTGCCCTGAACAGTGACAACCGGGATTCATCCGTGAAGAGAACACCTCTCCAACGTGCCAGACGCCATCGAATGTGAACATTTGCCCACTCAAGTCGGTTACGACGATGAACCGGAGTCAGGTCGAGACCCCGATGAGGACGACGAGCATGCAGATGAGCTTCCCTGAGACGGTTTCTGACAGTTTGTGCAGAAATTCTTTGGTTATGCAAACCGATTGTTGCAGCAGCTGTCCGAGTGGCTGGTCTCAGACGATCTTGGAGGTGAACATGCTGGATGTGGAGGTCCTGGGCTGGTGTGGTTACACATGGTCTGCGGTTGTGAGGCTGGTTGGATGTACTGCCAAATTCTCTGAAACGCCTTTGGAGACGGCTTATGGTAGAGAAATTAACATTCAATTCACGGGCAACAGCTCTGGTGGACATTCCTGCTGTCAGCATGCCAATTGCACGCTCCCTCAAAACTTGCGACATCTGTGGCATTGTGCTGTGTGATAAAACTGAACATTTCAGAGTGGCCTTTTATTGTGGCCAGCCTAAGGCACACCTGTGCAATAATCATGCTGTCTAATCAGCATCTTGATATGCCACACCTGTGAGGTGGGATGGATTATCTCGGCAAAGGAGAAGTGCTCACTATGACAGATTTTTTCAGATTTGTGAACAATATTTGAGAGAAATGGTTATTTTGTGTGTATAGAAAATGTTTTAGATCTTTGAGTTCATCTCATGAAAAATGGGAGCAAAAACAAAAGTGTTGCATTTATATTTATGTTTAGTGTAATACATCATCACCATATTTCACAACATATTTTTATAACTTTCACTCCATTCTGTAAATGATCAGATTACAAGGTATTCACCCATATTTATGATTTCATGGTTACATATAATAATACTTGAGTTCAAAATATACATGGATATATTTATACTAGGAGAAAAAATTGAAATATTCAACAAGAAACAAAAATGGGCAAATAGGATCACTTAACTCATCGTTTTAATAGAAAATAAAAGGTTTTCTCTTAGTGACATGCATGCATTTTCCAAATTACATTTGAAAAAGAAAGCTAAAGGCTCAACATCAATTCACTGAGCACATTAATGACTGATTTTAGGAAACAAAACTAAATAAATCATGCATACAAATTGGTGCAAAATGCCTCTTGATTAAGTCAAAATGAATGGCTGACGTTTTTTATATTTAGTTCTTAACATACAGTACATTCAACACTTCTGAGGGGAGCAATTACGCAACATGAGCTGCTGGAAGGCTTTTAATGTGAAACATCTGTGCAGGAAACGAGCTGCAGAGCAGAAACGCAGTGTAATATATCAGAGGGCAGGACACTCCTGTGTTGTAGTGATGGGATTATGGCTGAGGAATTAAATATAAAGACTAATAGATGGCGGTCTCTGCAGCGGGGGGTTGACGTCAGAGTGTTTGTTAAATTCTGACACTTCTGCAAAGTCAGGAGAAACCGCAGAAGTTTGTCTCATTGTGCTGTCAGTCCGAAAGAAAACTTCAGCCGTTGTATTTCACTTATAAACTTTATAAGTCCGAGCTGGCAAAATAAGCCTCGCTGTGATCAAAGTACATATTTATTTTCTATATTGTTGACATTTATCAACGTAATGCACGTCAGAAAGATTACTTTTCACTAGATTTTTCTACAAATCTGGACATATACTCTTAATCTTATATTTGTCCAAATTATAACTTTTCTGGTTCCAAAGTGTCAGTGTATTGATCAAAGTTTGGTCACTTTCTGTTGAGTAATTGGAGTTAAACAGTACCGTGACCTCGTGGGATTTGAACCCGGTTAAACCCGCTCTCCTTCAATTAAATCTTTTTTTTTGGCAGGGTGTCCTGTGTGGGCGGAGGTTTGATGGGTGTAGTTTGACCCTCCATTAAAAACGCACCTCCCCGGGGGGGTTGACGATGCAGTTTGAAGATTTATTGGCCCCTGTTTAATTACAACACAATCATTTCGGCTGCAACACTCACATTTCAGAGCATCCTTGAATGCACCACTACTCTTAACTCTAAAATCTTGGTGGTACAATCTGGAAGATCGAAGTCCTCAGGACTGAGTTTGAGAGAAAAATGTCACCAAAAATAGTCCTTTGAATAATGACTCTTTATATATATATATAGTTAAAATGACTCTTACAAGTATATATTTCTTGCTTTTACTTCTGAAGATTTGTTTTTAATATTGCCTCCCATGAGTTTAATCATCTCTATATGTATACTTTTATAGACATTAAAGTATAGATGATAAAATGCATACTTTCCTTTTAGTGCCATTGTTTACCCTGAAACTTCCTCAAAGGATTACCTTTCCTAAAATGCCTTTCATGCAGTCACCTGACGAGGGCTGTGCATTTATTATTTTTATTTTGATCCATAAAAACAAAACTCAAGACTCAAAATTAAACCCACTTTACACAAAAAAAGCTTGATTTGAATCCAGACAGAAATCCAGATTCTGCAGCTCTGAGTGTTCCCTCTGCTGTTGACCCGTCGTAATGTCTCATAAAAAAAAGAGCGTGACCTGTCCACTCCGGTAATTGAGTGACTGATGGGAAATCACTGCCGTTAGGTTTGGTTAGCGATCAGGTGGCGATCAATCAGAGCGTTACGGAGTGGGTGGGGGAGGGGGGGGTCAGCGAGGGACGCCTGCGGGAAGATAAACGATCTCAATGAACCGATGGATCAATATTTGACCCGAGGCTGGGCTGCGGGGTTAGTGATGAAGCAGAGTCACCTCCACTAAGGGCCGCCTGCAAATCTAGAGTCCTGATGGTGGTGAGGATGCAGAACCATAAAACCTACCACCTACAAAATCAGAGGGGAAACATGAGCTTCGCTGGCATTGTCCAAAAAATCAGTTCCTTTGTCCTTTTGTAACCACTTCCCTTCAGTTAAAAACACATTATGGGGTCACGGAAGGGTGTGAAGGAGAATTCATCAGGACTTACAAGAAGAGAATACACTGACACTGGGAGACGTCATAGTGATGAGACGGGGGATGTTATTGAGTCTGTAGATCCGTTATCACGTGTTATATCATACCACGTGTTCCCCATCAAATAGTGTAAGCCTCAAATTCTTTGTTTAAGGCCATTGTAAATCAAGACATTTCAAAAGTGAAACAAGTGGTGGATATTATTGTGAGGAATAACTTGTAAATGAAAGAGAAAAGCTCACAATGATTGCGAAAATAAATAAAATATTCTCTGAGTTCTAAATCACAAATGTATCAGAAAATAAATTAAGTGTTTACATCATTGTTATTTGATTTGAAACCTCTATAACTGTTAAAACACCCATAGTTCCACCTCACCTGGAATCAACCAATGCAAAGGCATCTTCGAGTGACTGTGAGAAAGGCATTCTGGGAAATTGAGTCTTCAAGACAGTTTTAGGAAAAGCAAAGGCACATTAAAGAGAAAAGTAAAGTGTTCTTTAAGTGCTCCTTACTTCATCTCCCATCTACTCATATTGTTCAGTCAGTAACACACACACACACACACACACACACACACACACACACACACACACACACACACAATGTCAGTAGGTGTGTGTCCTTGAACCAAGGGCCGTCCTGCGGTCAGATGGCTCTTAAGGAGGACAGGGACACATAAGTCACCTCTCTACACACACACACACACACACACACACACCACACACACACACACACACACACACACACACACACACACACACACACACACACACATACACATACACATACACATACACATACACACACACACACACACACACACACCAAGGATGGAGAACATGGTAAATGAGTGTGAGGTTGTACGAACCAAAACATATCACTAAAGTGCATGTATGGACAAACACACACACACAAACACACACACTCCGCCCCTGACACATCACCCCTCTGTGCCCGAGCTTTATTAAAACCAGAGTGATGGTCTATGAAAAGAGACACACACACACACACACACTAAATGTCTGATTGATGCTCTCCTCCCCTCCCACCGAGTCAGGATTCCCATGGAGACAGAGTAACACACACACACACAATCTGCCCCTGTGTTCCTGATGTAATGACATGTTAATGGCTACCATCACACACCACACTCGTCAGCCATTTTCACAGCATTAGAGGAACAACATTTTAAATCTTCTTAATAAAATCATCAATACATTTTTAAAAATATAGGGAAAAGCTTATTTTAGGGATGGCATAAGAATATTAAGTACATTTGCTGAAATACAAATAAAATGTACCAATTTTTTCTGATAGATTTCATAATTATATTTCAGATAAGATTTTTTAATGAATTCAATAATAATAATGTTTCGGTTTGGACTAAAATAATATTTTGAAGGTAATATTTTTGTAATTGTTACAAAGATTAATGAATGTGTTAGAGTAGAAATAATCTTTCGATTTTATTTAGTTTAGCGGACTAAAAGATGGAATTCCTTCATCTATGCGTTTAAACATTAATATTTTTTAGCTTTATATTGAAGATAGTTGCTTTAAGCCATTACAACACTTTTGGAAATAAATAAAATAGTTTCATATATCTTGAACAGATCAAATAAGTTGGATATGGAAAGGTGGGGAAAGCTTATTTTCCATTATTCAGCGATAACATATTGAGTAATTAATTTCAAAACACACATACTGACACACAATATGTTATTATTGAATATACAGTATGATAGTTTGTACAGTGCACATGTGTAATGTTTGAGCTACTTGAAAAAAAATAAGTATGTGAGTATGATACACTGGATTGGATTGAGATTTAAAAGTAGCCTAGGCTAAAAGATGGAACAAACATTACATGTTACATTAAATGAATGTAACCATTGTTGGTTACTTAAAATACTTTTCAGAATTTATGATTTTCTACGCTGGATTAAGATTTACAACCTCAGCAGAAACTTGGACAAAAAGTCCCGGGAACTTTGGGTGAAAACCGGGATATGGTCCCTTTTTATTGTTAAATATTAGACGGTGAATACAACTCTCTATACATGCAAACATTCACAAGGATCACAGATATCATGACGTTGATGGGCAAACCTGATAAAAAAGATAATATTACACCCGATTTCATAATTTCTGATTGTGGTAAATGTAAGCTGTTGGTGCTCTTCCTCCTCAGGGTAGTACTCTTGAACTTCCCGCAGTATTTTCAGACTTTGCTGTGTGTTTCTTCTTCTGTTGTGTGTGTACACCCCCCACACTGCAGGCTGTTAACAGAGTTTATCAAAGTAGGGAACCTGCAGGCGCTGCGAACCTTTAGAGTGCTGCGAGCGCTGAAAACTATCTCAGTCATCCCAGGTAAGCCTCACCTGCAGGGGGCGCCACGGACAGAAAACACTCGTCATCGTAACGTGAACGTCTTCTTCCTGTTCGTCCCATGTCTGCCCTGTCCCCGCCCACTTTCTACTCTCTGACCAACCAGGTGCCCAGGCTGTAGTCACCTGTCATGAACTGAAGAAAAGTAAGGAAGGAAAAGTCAGACAATTAAAAGCTGAACACATGTTCCTGAAACTGGAGATTTGTTTTAGATTCAAAGACAAAAAAATCAACTATACTACTTGCCTTTTAGAGTCAAGCTTTACTTATCAAAACAGTGACACAAAGCTAGACTTTTTAGGCTCTGTACCGTGAAAGGCTAACCTACTTTTCCTAAAAATAACTACTTTTTAAATGTAATTTCTCACTAAACTTTGAGTTCTATCGTACACATATTGTAAGTACAGTACTGTTCCCAAAACATAATGGTAAATTGCAGCCCTAATTCAACCCTAAAGATAAATAAACAACAAGACACTTATCTAAAGAAATATGTTGCACAGATTGAAACCACACATATTTGTTCTCTAGTTTGGCTCCATGTGACACTAGAGTTGACACTAAACTAAATCATTTGCAGAGATTTAAACTGTGAGTTTATCTCCAGTTTTCCTCCATGTGAGAAACTTCCTGTCTGACTTCCTCTTCCTCCACTCTCTTCCCCTCTCTGTCTCTCTTCATCTCTCCGTTCCACGTTGTTGCTCGGTGTGTCACCCTCTGTGTGTGTCTGTTTTTGTGCTTCTGTCTCCGGCGTGCTGCAGATATGTCACTGAGTTTGTGGACCTGGGTAATGTGTCAGCCTTACGGACGTTCAGGGTGCTGCGAGCGCTCAAAACCATCTCTGTCATCCCAGGTGAGGAAGCCAAGCGCAGGGGCGGGAACATTAAACATCAAACGCACCCCCCCCCCGGCCCGGGCCTGCAGGAAGATTAAACTCTCATCCTGCATACTACCTGCTGAACAAACCTGCTTTTTAAAATACATCTTTAATAAAGTACACAGAGGTAGTATGCAGAAAGAAATCTTTCTCATTATTAGTTGTGTGTGCACATCAGAGGCTCAGTTGACAGCGACAAAAACATATGCATTTACACAATAAGCAATGAGGTCTCATCTTGAGAAATCTAATATTGTAAAATATTTTAAGCAAATATTGGTAATACACAAATATAAATGATAAAGAGGAACAATTTTGTCACAATAAACATTTCTAAAATATACAGTTTTAATGAGTGACGCTTTATCTAAATATGAACCTCTTTGATTCAGGGTCCTTTATTACCTCTTATGCAATATCAAAACTAGCTTTTAAAAAGATCTGACGCACTGAAATAACACTTTAAAATGACTTTGTACAAAACACTGTATGTCCCATTTAGAATCATTAAGTTGTTGAAATATATTTTATTATGGTGGGAAGTTGTGAGGCATCGTCATAGAGAAATAACTTAGTCTTGGCTTTCATTTCATGTACTTATACTTTTATGAACCATTTGACTTCTCCTCCACTACAATAATCTGAATGTTTAATTTGACAATCAAAAACAAAAGTGTGATCGTAGTGACTCCAGTTTTAAATGTGGATCCACTTTTAAATGTTTATTAAGAGAGGGATTCAGTCCTTTATATTACGTTTTTGTACACATTTGTATCATAGATTTAACTTTAAACTTTAATCTTTTTTTCTACCATTACTGAAAAAACAGTTATTAAAATGTGGATACATCTCTTCACATCTGTCGCTTGCTGGCCTCTGTATGACTCCACTGTGCATGTTAGCATGCAGCGCTAGCAGCGTTATAAGCATCTTTAACGTGATTAAAACATCTCCATGCCATGGTCATGTTATAACAACGTCTAAAACTTGTTATAACCATTTTAGCTACATGTGAAAAGCATCTCATAACAAAATATAATCACACTGCTCATTCATTAGCTTACAGACGCTAAGAAGTTCAATTATAATGCAAATTAAAAGTCTGTTTCTAATGAGTTTACTTAATAGAAAAAAGCTCAAGTTAGAAAAAGTCGAAATGGAACTTTTATTTGTTACAATTGGCCGACGTCAACTTGTCTGCACCCTTTGTGTTCTCACTGTGTGTGTTCCTGCTGTTTTTACTACCTGTGTGTGTTGTTGAATGTTAACTGGGAGATCATTTTCCTTTATTCTGTTGATGATTACTTTATTCCCATGGTGACGTTGACATTTATGAAAAACTTAAAGCTGCTGTTTGATGAAAACCTTTATACTTCTTTATATTATATATATTAAAATGATACAACTTTTGTTGAAGAGATTTTCTACCAACAGCAGAGTTATATTTTCTTTTTTATTCAATTGGTGATTTATTTCTCTGGTACATAAAGATGGCTGCCCTTTGGTTTGACTCCATAACCTTTCTTACTTTGCAGCTTGTAAAAACCCCCCTGAAAAAACATCCTTTTCAAACAGTTATAACATGTGTGTTTGTTGCTATAACTCAATTAACAATTACTGTTGCTTATTGAGAAAAGGCTGTAATATTAGATTATGATCAAAGTTGAGACGGCAGCCATATTTATGATCACCAATTTTACAAGGAAGTTCACCCAAAAACAATTAAAATAATGTTCTCAAATGGCATTATTAGAACTGAACAAAATGTAAACATATTCTGAACGAAAGAATCTCAGCATTGTCCAAGTGGGTTTTATCCAAACATTTGTCTCATTGAACAATTTGAACTAAATGATTATCAAATAAAAAATCTGCTTTCTATCGTGTGCGCAAAATGACGTTTTGTCCACTAATTGATAGAAAAGGGTTTTTTATATTTATATATTGTTTTTGGGTAAACCATTCTTTTTAAAGAAATCCGACTTGAAACCTTTCTTTGAACTAGCCTGTTTTTTATCCAGATTCTTATATTTAAAACTAAACTTTAATTGAATTATAGATGTTTTCTTGTTAAGTGATCACATCCACATCACATTTCCCTGACCTCTGACCTCGTGTGCGCCCTCTGGGTGGCGGCAGGCCTGAAGACGATCGTGGGCGCTCTGATCCAGTCGGTGAAGAAGCTGGCGGACGTGATGATCCTCACCGTGTTCTGCCTGAGCGTCTTCGCCCTCATTGGCCTGCAGCTGTTCATGGGGAACCTGCGGCAGAAATGTGTCCGCAACACGGCACACTGCCTCAACGACAGCATGTCCGCCAATGCCTCCTTCCTCTGCAACAACAAGACCTGGGCGTCGCTGCACGACTTCATCAGCGATGAGGGTGAGGACACAGCTCTCAATACTTACTGTATTGTGGTTCATGCATTGCTGTTTGCACTGATAAAGCAGCAGTAGAAGGGAAAGTAACCAGATGGTGACTTGTTGTAAGACGCATTTAAGAAAGTAAGTTGTAAAGATGAAGCAGAGTCTGGCTTTGTTCACACTTTGTGGCTGAATAGAAACGTAGAAAGAGTACTTCTTTCACCTCTGGGTGTATGCATCACTTGTGGGACTAACAATACAGCAGTAGACAGGGAAGCAGCCAGGTAGTGACTCTCAATAAATTACAATTAAAACAACAAAAGCTGTTAAAGTGAAGCTGAACCTGGCTTTGGTGAACTCAGGGATTTAAAGTTCAAGGTTGAGAATGCATTGCCTATATCTTGACTAAAAATGTCACACTTAGCAGCCGAATTGGATGTGAGATATTGAAAACTATTTCTTTCTGACTGACTACATTTGAAAGACTTGGTTTGTTATTGTTGCTCAAACGCACACTTAAGGTTTAACTACTGGTCTTAGAAAAGGCTATTTGAACTCAGTCGTGCTGGAAATCTGTTGTTAAGGGGTTAAAGAAATCATTTCTGAGACTATTGTAGCAAATGACCGCAAAGAGACACAAAGTTACTAATAATAGACACTGAGACTGAAGACTTATTCAGAATGTAGTATATGCCATCGCATTTTATAATGCAGAAGTAAACAATGCTAGTCGCTTTTTATAAGATACATTTAAGAAATGTAATTGTTTGGATGTGAAAAGCTGAGCCTGGCTTTTTATAATCCATAGCTAATTTCCAGGTGATGATGTGGAATAGATTTACTTTTCCATTTCTAACCGATTTTGGAATTCATACGTTTTCTTAATGAATTTGTCATTGTTGCTTAAACACACACAACTGAAGGCCTTTTAGAAAAGTTATTTAAAGGCTGTTGTGATGAAAAGCTGTGGTTAGAGTGGAACAATGTTCTCATGGATACATAAAAAGAGTTATAACACAACTATAAACAGACTCAAAATGATGACAAAGTGACTACAAGAGACACAAACTGTGTGTGCGTGAGAGAGTGTGAGGTCATATGAGGTCAGCTGGTGTATATACACTATTGGACATGTCAGGCATTTGGCCAGGGAACATAATATATGTTATGTGGACATGCTTATACACTCACAGTACATATAAGCACATACTGTACTATACACACACACAGAGGTCGAGGTCAGGGTTAGGGAAACACTTAACGCTGTCAGATGAAACCTGAGTGTGTTTTATCCATGTGACCTCAACGCTCAACCACCTCTGCACACATGCATGTTTCCACTTCTTCATCTACACACTTTATTTGTATTTAATTGTAATTTCTGTGAACATATCTGGTGTCAGTCCATGTCTTCTTCTTTTGCCCTTTTTCTTTTCTGTAATATTTCTTTTCTTTTTGTATCATTTTTAACTTAAAATCTTTTTCTCCTTTCACATCCCATTATTCTCTGTTTTATCTGATCCTCTAATGAGGACCACAGAGAGGAAATACAATCACTACAAAGTAACACAATTACTAGAATCAAACAAATCCAGCTGCTTTTTTGCTCACAAAAAAAACCTCAAATAAAATGTTTCGTCTTGTCAGCTGCTGTATGTGCGCTAGTCTTGTGACAGATGTTTTTATAATGATAGCTTCTTCCATTCATCTGCGTAATTAATACAACTATATTGTCTCCTTCCTCTACCAATAACATGGCTTCCATCTTTCCTAGTGTCTTTCTCTGGTAAGGGATTGTTTCCGGGGAGCCTGTGAAGCCTTTTGACACTTTACAAATGAACTTGCACAACTCCTTTATGACTACAGTATAAGCAAACCATATTTTCCCCCAATTATTTCTGTCAGACAGCAGAAAAGAAGCCATGCTCAAAACACACCCCGGGACAAACACATTCCCTCGTTATCCAGAAACAGATGTGTAATTATTTAAAGTAATGACGTGTTGCAGAAGCAGTGTTTCTCCTCTGTTAAAGGGTGAAACCGCCTCAAATAAGATAAAGGCGACTTTGAGTTTACAGTAATGGTTTGTTGCTAATGCACCTTCTATTTATTCATTTCCAGTTTGCTTTGCCGTGCATCACATCAAACAAATGTCCCCTGCAGGCTCCCATATCGACCCCTAAAAGCTGCCGTGAAACCCGAGAGCCGTTAAAGCTCGGCTGATCTGAAAACAGTGGAGATCAATGTGGATGTTCTCCATGCTTAAACATTTCCCATCATGCAATGTTTGCTCTGTCTGGTCAGAGCGTCCCCGGAGCTGCACGTTCAATAAATGAATATCCGAGACGCAGAACATGTACACCCATTATATTTTAATAGTTTAAACGAGAAATCTACTTTAAACAGTACTGTATATAATACCAATAAATACCATTTTATTATAATTATAAAAAATAACAGATAAATAAATTCAAATAAAGTAATAAAATGAACAGTTTTAGACGAGATAGAATTGGATCGGCTTCTTTCCCCCCTAAATGTAACCGTTGTTACAAAAAATATACATTTTACAATAAGTAATAATAAGAGAGTTTGATGAGGGAGAAGACCGAAATCTGAACATATTAGGCTCCGTTTCCCTCTGAAATATTACTGAATAAATTAAAAGAATGTCTTTGAGTGAGTGAAAAGGCAATGATAGCGTCTTTACCTGCTGAATTGTGTATAATTATGAGTAATTGCAGGTTGTCCAAAAGGAAAGATACCCGACATCTTTTTTTAAATTTAGGAGAAATGATGAAAAAGGTCATGTAAATAAGCACTCAAATGTAGATTTGGGATGTTCTTCTTTCTAGTAGTCTGGAAGAAGACATTTCAGTGAATCAAAATAGCCCAAAATCCTAAGATTTAAATGTTTTGTCCATGAAAACAAGACATTGTGAGAATATATTAACAAGTGATTAATATATTTCCTTCTTGGCAGAGCAGACTAACTGCCTCAGTATATTTCCCATTTCGTACCTGCAGATTCTCATCATGTAAATGCATCTCTTGCTGATGAAAATACACAGGGGGAGGATGAGTGGAGGTGTATTTACCTTGCAAAGAAATCTAAATGAAGCCCACCCCCTTGATATCCTAGAGAGACAATTTCCCTGTCCCTGCAGCTCTGTGAAATCTTCTCAAACGGGGGTTGTGCTTAAAGAAACCTTTATTAAATGTCAGTCCGCAGACTAATATGCATCTATTCGGGGGAGTTTCTGAAGTTCCAGATAATGACTGCTCCTATGTGCTTTGTCTGCCTCAGTGACTAATCTTAGAGCTTCACTCTGAGCAACTGAACAAAAGCACTTCAGAAGTTTTTAGCTGCAGACTCCCAGATGCACTTGATAACAAATGAATGTCAGCGCTGCTGAAAAGTTGAAGTGCCTTCAGCGGTCAGAGGCAAACACAAGCACCAGAGAAAATGTTTACTTTGTCAAAGGAGTGAACTCTGCACGTGCACCGCCACAATAAAATACTTTGAACAAAGAATTGATCCGTGACAAGCTGAAGTTGTACATTGGTTTCTGGGAAAATCTTCTGTTTCCCAGAGTACTTTTAGTGATAACATAATGACACCTATTGTAACATATTCCTATTGAAATGCTTTTTAATCTCTAACATAAAAAAAGAGAGAAGCTGAGTTTTTAAAGAAAAAGATACAACTTGGCTACAGCTGGCTTTTTTATTTCTGACTTTTGTAATAAGATCATAAATACCTATTGTAATATGTTCCTCTTACAATGCTATGTATTTGCTTATATAATAAATATTTAAAACTAGATGATTAATTTTGTTATCTAAATATTAAACTTAATTGTTCATTATTAACAATATAAGTTGTTTATGGTATTTACAGAATAAACAATGAAACCCCCCTTTAAAATGGAATATTCCAAGTTCCATTGGGCCCATAATGGTGCGTTCACACCGGACGGCGAGTTCCCACTTCCTTGCGAGTTCACCAACACATTAGAAGAAAGAAGACTTTGAAAGAAATGCTTTATTCTCCATGACATACTGTGGTTTCACAGAAAAGTGTTTGAAGTTTGCTCTTTTGTTTCCCAGAGTACATTCAACATGACATCCATTGTAAAATGTTCCTATTGTAATGTTATGTAACCACTCATTATTAAAGTAATACATATTCAACACTGGATCACTTGATATAATAATAAAACTAAACAATGAAACCCACCTCAAAATGAAACCGTCCATGTTCTATTGAGCTTATTAGAAGCTCCTACGTCATGGGAAACATTTGCAGTTTCCCGCATCAATAAAGAAAAGATGCTTTGTTCCGTGTGACATACAGAGGTTTTTTTAAAGTGTTTAAACTTCAGTTTTGCTCTTTTGTTCCCCGAGTACATTTAGTGATGAGAACATGACACCCATTTTCATATTTTCCCATTGCAATGCTATGTAATCTTTCATAATGTCTGCAGTTAAATGCATTTGGTCTGAATTTTGTGTTGAATAAAAGATAAGTACCCTAAATGTTTCTGTGAGAAAATAGATGAAAATGTCACGGCAGAATGTAAGGTCAGTTTTAAAAGCTGCATCTGATTATAGATGATGTAACATTGAGTCACACAGGAAAAGCTTCAATATAAAAGATACAACATCTGATGTTACATTTCACAAAGTTGAGGTAATCTTTTTCACAGTTTTTCAGACGAGTAAAGTCACAGCATGTCAGCCTGTCGACTTGTTTGTAAAAAATAGTCCATCTATATTTATTATATATTTATATATTATATATTATATTATATATTTTATATTTATTATATATTTTATATATGTATTATATATATTTATTATATTTTATATTTATTTGTTTATATTTATATCTATATCATATATTTAGATTTTGGTGCATCAGAATCAGAGACATTTGATTTGTTGTTCCATATCGATAAACTCTAGAAGTGTTTTCTTCCTGCAGACATGCATTAAAAGCTTCTGATACTTGTGTGCACTAGTACTTCCCTGTAATGAAGTGTTTTAATGTTCTCTGAAATGACTTGTGGTGTTGAATAAATGCTCGGGCAGAGATGGTTCCTGTAATGTCCATCCTGACTAAACAAACTGAGATTCATGAGATTATTGATCTAAAAAAACAAGAACAGGAAGGGTCATCTGAATGTATCTGAAACACAAGTGATTATTGAATTTGATTTATTTGTACAACTTTATTTTCAGGAAGTAAAAAAGTTCACATGAACGTCTAACTAAAGTGGATTTTTATTTATTTTCCAGACAACTTCTACAAAGTGGAGGGAGCCAAGGATGCCTTAATCTGTGGGAACAGCAGCGACGCAGGGTGAGTGCATTTCATCTTTATTTTTGAAAACACACAAAGGAGGAGGTGTGGGTGGGGCTGGTTGAAGGATGCATGTGTTCTTGAGTGACGGATGTTGAAATGTGTCGCAGTTTTGAGCTGTTATGGTCTCCGGAGATCAAACTTGAAGGACAATCAATAAGAAACGGGATTATTGTGAAAAGGAAGATGTTTTTGTGGTTGTTTCTTGACTCTTCTTGTTTATTGTAAAGAAGAATGAGAAAATATTCCCACTTCTCACTCTATTTATTATGATCGGTTTATTGTCTCAATCTCCAGATTCAAGTCTTCTTTAATACAGCATGATGTTCAGTTATGATAAAGTAGCGTATGTCTTTTCCTGGACGAAATGTGGCAAGAAATGTTGTCAATTGATTTATGTCTCCAATGGCATTGTGCTGTATTCCTGGGTAAGAAGAGAATCTCTTAGATATGAGAAAAAGCAAGAAACGTAAGGAGTGTTGTGGTTCACACAGGGTTGGTGTAATTGCATATTTGGACTTACTGGAGATTTAGCCGACTGGTAATATCATCCTGCTTCTGTTCTTACAATTTTACTCCTGAGTTTCAGCCTCTGGTAGAGAACCGGGCACTCTACAGCACCTGAGAGCATGCGCCCATACTTTTTTGGCACTGGTATACATATGGAGTAAATATGGAAACAGATTGGGCTTTCTGTGAGGCAGAAACGAGAAACCAAATAAACAGCAGGTTCAGTCAATATTTCCCCTCAGATGTAGAAGCCCTTCCTGTCTCTTCTCTAGTTTAAATTTGGTCATTTTCTAGTTTTGGTGAGCATCCCGCGGCTAAATGAATCTGAGCGTATCTCATTGTCTGTGTGCATATCCCTGCCGCTACCATCGTCTGAGACGTTGTGTGACATGTCGGACAGCACTAGTATCTGTGCAGAGAGCTTGACAGACACTGACTGACAACAAATTGTATGAGTGTGTGTGTATGTGTGTTTTTGTATGAGAACGAGACACTCATCCAACGGAAATCTGTAGCAGGCGAACATGTTAGCCCGGGGCTAGCTAGCCATGCCATGTGAAACCTATCTACAGATGCTGACGCTGACTCACACAGGAATGGCTTTTCAAAACAGAAGACACACATTCTGATGTTATATTTCACAAATAGGAGGTGAGGTTTTGTCATATCAACTCCAATTAGTTTAAACATTAAAGTAGGACTGTCAAAGTTAAGGAGATAATTGCAGATTGACATCTTTTATATATATGTCAATCAAAGCTGCCAACACTTTTTTTAACAAAATAAATGAAAGCCTATAAAAAAGGGATATTCAATTATATTGAAGTTGTATGATTTGATGTTGGTCGTGAGTTGTACTGTAGTCCTGAGAAGTGATGGGAATTTAGATTGTTATTGCTCGCTGATGCTGAAAATGGTGCTAAAGTAAGCGAGAAAGAAACACCGTTGCACATTTTTAACTTACTGTTAATTAAGTCATCTCCACAATTCCAATACAAACTGTCCTCAAACCTGAGAAGCGTTGCTGCAGCAGGAAAACATGTTAGCCTGGAGCTGGCCGTGAATATCAAACCCATTTACAGAAGCTAACGGATAACTAGCATGCTAACGGATAAGTGTGCATGATGCAAACACGCTACAGTTCAAAGGAGGTGAAGCAGAAAAAAGGATGGGCAAAAGAGGAAGAAGAGATAAATGAAAGGGGGATGGACAGAGGAGTATAAGAAGAGACAGAAGGAAGAGAAACAGAAGGAGAGCAAGAGGGAACAAGGAGAGGAGAGGAGAAGTGGTAAATGAATAAAAATGAAACCAAATGAAATAAGGTGAGAAGAGACAGATGTGGCAAAAAACTGATAATCTTGCAGTCTCTGTGGAGAGATGTTTGGATAGAAGGGAAGGAAAGAAGACATTGAGCTGAAGGGTAATAAACTAAAGAAAACAGAAGAAAGGAAAAAGGAAAAAAAAGATGGTTGAAAAAAGAGGGCGACAAGGGATAAGGGGATACAAGCAGGTAATTAAAAAGTTCAAGGTAATATTATTGAGGAATAAAAAGAGCTATAAATAAGAAGATTGGGGAGGAGGAGAAGATGAATTAAATGTTAAACTTCATGTCAATAACCTGCTTAAAAAACTGAGGGTTATAGGGTTCTTTTTTAGAAACAAGTCCTGTTTCTCGCTTGACGCCAGGAAAAGGCTAGTCACGGTCACCTTTTTACCTGTGCTGGACTATGGTGATTTGTTGTATATGAATGCACCTGCCAATTACCTGAGCAAATTGGATGCTGCGTATCACAGTGCTCTGAGATTTGTCACAAATTGTAAAGCGCTTACACATCACTGTACCCTGTATACCAAGGCAGGTTTACCATCACGCTCTGTACGGAGGCTCAGTCACTGGTACACTTTTATTTATAAAGCTATGTTGGGCAAACTCCCGTATTACATCTGTTCTCTGGTAAAGCAGAAAGTTGCAAGCAGCTATTGTCTGAGATCGCAGGATGTAGTCTTGTTAGATGTGCCAAGAGCAAGCACTGTCTTAGGTAAGACTCCAGCTCCACTTGCTTGGAACAGCCTACAGTCCAAATTCAAATTGAGCAATTTTATTTCTCTGAATGTTTTTAAGGCACGTCTGCACGAGATGCTTTCTGACACTATGGGTGTTTGTAAGTGTTGGTGAATATGTAAATATGATGTCCTCTATTGTTTGTTTTTATGTTGTTTTTATGTTTCATGTGGAACTAAATTGATGCAGGTCTCCCTTGTAAAAGAGATCCATGATCTCAAGGGACCTATCTGTCTAAATAAAGGTTTGAAATGAAAAATGAAATGAAATGGGTATTCCCCACAAAAAACACATTTCATTTAGCTGACGTTTTTTTTAAAGCAACTTGCAATCGGTGCAAAAAAGCATAAAGAACAAACTCGGAACAACAAGCCAAGCCATTGCAGTGCTGATACATTAGTTTCACTAATGGGGGGGGGGGGGGTTATGGGTTTTATTGACAAGGTATAAGCTAAAACAAGTGGGTTTTCAGTTTTGAATGTAAGATGTTTAGACTTTTTGCCGTCCTGATGTCAATGGAGCTCATTCCACCGTTTGAGAGGAAGTATTGCAAACACGTGGTGGGCTAGTACCAGTGACTTGAAGCGCATTCAGGCAGCCATTGTCAGCCAGTGACGGGAGCAATGAGTGGTGTGCTGTGGGAGAACTTACGTAAGTTGAAAATCAGTTGAGCTGCTGCATTCTGAATCAGCTGCAGAGGTCTAATGGCACTTTAAGGTAGACCGACCAGGAAGGAGTTGCAGTAGTCAGGGCTTGAGATGGCCTTGTCCAGGACCTGCGTTGCCATCTGGGGCATCTTCCTGATGTTTCGACAGGATATCATATTTTATACTTTTATACTAAGTTAATGCAAGACTTTGACTGCTAGTAGAGTATTTCACAGTGTTGTATTAATATCAGTTTGTCATGTTGTTTCTGGGATTTCTCTCCGTCTGCAGTAAGTCAAAGTGTGTCATAAGTGTTGAAAGCGTCAAGATAGCAGCTGAGAGAGAGAGAGCGAGAGAGAGAGGGAGAAGCTGCTGCAGGATGAGCGAGGAAGATGAGGAAGATGAGGCTGGATGACAGTGATGTTGATCACGGCGTTGTTTTCTTCCTGTGTTGAAGCTGCTCACGCATCATGCAGATTCCCCGGGCCGTAGGGCAAAGGTCACTGAGCTAACACACTCTGACACACACACTACCAGCAACAGCACACACACTGTCAGGCTTTTTATTAACATGATCTGTTTTGCGACCATTAAATCCATGGCAAGCATCGTCTCTCTTTTAGGCAGAATATTATCTTGAATGCTTTTTAAAAGGTTCCAAATAGTGGCTGTAAATAGTCTTTGGAAAAAAGGGGGTTCATTGGATAAATGGATACAAATTGATAAAAATGAATACAAATATGTTTTTTAATGAAGGATTCTGTTTGAAGCTAAATATTTAGTTTGATAAAAAATGTTGTGAATTCTGAAAATATTATATTTACCTTCTTATTTAACTGTTCACAAATACAATTTAAACACAACAAATAAACACAATTCTTTTTGTATATATCCAAGCTTTCGAATGTCAACTTTACCAATGAAGCTACAAACTTTTCTTAGTATAACTACATTTCTCTGGTAAAATGTCTGAATTGTCGTTCCAACACTGGACACTGTAAACCAGTTGGTGTGAGTTCTTCAGTTATTTTCTGTTTTGATTGAACTTCCTGTCTGCTGAAAGTTGATTTACGGAATCACAGCCTGAAGACGAAGCGGCAGAGAGCAGCACAATGACAGGCAGAACTTTATTTATCAGATAACAAAACTCTGCAGGTATTTTTGCTTTTTCTGCACCATGTTCTGGGCCGGGTTACTGAGCAAACAAGCATCTGCGATCAGAAGTGAGGGTGGTGAGTGCATCTGCAGGGCTATAACTGATCATCTTCTGTTAAGTACTTAAACCACAGTGGGCCGTAATTAGGATGTTTAGCAATCTGTGCTGTTGTCTTTATTTTCAAGGCGAAAATACATCTCGTCAAAGTCTGCATTTACAGCGATAAATAAAGCATTCATTTCTGAATGTTTTTGATTTATCAAAAGTAGTTTAATTGTATTGTGAATATTCCACACATTGCATTAAGGATAGTCAAAATGTACTGCTGATATTGATTCAGGATCTAAATCTGTCTAATGTGTCACGCTGTATCACTTCTCTTCTGTAGTTGTCCACTTCCACCTTTTTTCAAATGTCCTCTGGCTGACAGTCAGAACGATAGTCTGCAGATAATCTGTGTCACTTCAGATCTCAAATGAAAGGAATTCACTGAATGATAGAAAACCTGCTGATTGGAAACTCTCTGATTGAATATACTTCAGTCATTCTTCATTAATGCTTCTAATTAACTCTAACTTCAGACAGGATGACTTTAATATTCAGTGAATGTTTCTCTGTATGGAGG